TAATCACTAAAATTATATTATAATTTGATAGTTTATTACTTTCGACTCTCCCCATCCCTGCCAAATTCTTTGTGAGCAATAATATTCACAATTTGAGAGGGTATAAAAGATATTGAAAATTATTTGTGTGTGGCTAATTATTAATAAAATTAAAATATAACAGTTGATAACTATTGGTTAGAGGCTTTAGAGATATAGAAGAAGTTTAGGGAATACATGGATAGCAGAATGGTTTGGGCCTCTCTTTGCTAAACCTCGAGGCATATAATATTATTTTGGCTAAAATCTTAATCGGAATGTTTTTTAAAAATTGATCTGAATTAGGCTTTTTAACAACACTAGTTTTCATTGTTCAAATAAATTTTCATTAAAAAAATTATATATGAATATTTATTGAGTAATATTTATATTTTTTAAAAATATTTTTTTTATTATCCTTTTAACTCCTAACTTTTTTTTAATAGGTTAAAAAAATTATTTATATATTTTTTATTTATATTCCCTTAAATTGGCATTTATCATCTGTGGGCCAAAAATACAAAAATAATATCATTAGGAATAGAAATTCTAGCATTATAATAAATATTGTCAGATTCTATGTGCAACCCACTAGTAATAGAAGGTAAGTCATGAAAACTATAAGAAATAAAACGTTTATAATTTTTCCAAAATCGGATGGCGAAAAGTTAAAACCTTATAAAATATAAGCGAAAGCATATGATATTCCGAGAATTAATAATACGATTGAATATTTATTATATAATTATATTATAATGTAAAATGAAATCTTTAAGCGTCAGGTTATATAATCGCATGCAATTTGATGATGTCTTAAATTAGATCACGAGACTTTAAAGGGTATTTAGCTGTCAATATTTTAGCCAGAAAAATATTGCATAAGCCTCGAGATCTAATATGTGTCCAAACCTTTGTGCTATCTTTGAGAAAAATCTTCAGACTTGCGTAATTTTTCTGAGTAAAATATAAGTAAGTTTCACCGGATGTTACCGAATCAACTTCCTTGTGGCATCTTGCATAACATGATTGAGTTCATGTTTAAACGTATAGCCAAAGCAAAGCTAAATTCCTGGTCATTAAGCTCTAAGCCAAGGTTTTTAGATGGAATTGTCTCTAAAAATTTTAGCTATAATGATGATCAACGACAAATCATAGATGCATCCCAGTTTTTCTACTTGGTCGTTGGAAGAAGAGTGTCAGATGTATTTGTACTACACCACAAAGAGGAAACCTTATCTAGTAAATGGTCTGGACAAGAATGAGCCACAATACTCACAATTCTAGATGGTAAGAATCAGTAAATAGATAATACGATTGGAGACTGAATTCCGATTCCCCAATTGGAAGTGGGCAGTGTGCCAGGAATTTCCATTATTTCAATTATTTTTGAGTCGTATGTTAGGAGCTCTCCTGTAAATTAAGCACTGAGTCTTATTGCATGGAGAATTTTGGGGTTGTTAAAAAAGTTTATAATTACGAACTAAGTGAATAGGAAGGAAGTAGAGTTTATAAGTTAGATAAGGTTTGCATAAAAATTGTTAAATCGCACCCACACCATCAATAGGAGACCCGAGGTGGGAAAGTTCATCTACTATGATATATGATAATTTTTCAAGGGCAGAATTCGGTTTTGTTTAAGATTTAGAGACCAATTGATGCTCCTACATATTTTCTTAAGCTGCATGCTTTAGCGATTCCTTCATATGATCCACTAATTATTCAGTCATTAATATACCATACATATAGATCAAACATGCATTTTAATTTTTCATTTGAAGATCTACACAAGTCTAGAAGCCCCCATGTTGAATGCCCTCATTAGATGATACAGTTTACTCCCCAAATTGTAGAAGATAAAGATCTTGATAGCCGTTGAGTAATTAGCATAGCTTATACCTTTTCTTTGTTGTTAAGTTAATAAAAAATATATTTAATTTTATTAAATAAAAAATTTATATAATTATTTTTATGTATAATTTAATTTAAATAACGTTTTTTAAAAAAATTTGATTTTATTATGTTTTAAAATTATTTAAATTTTTTTAAATTATATAAATTGTAGTATTATTAAACGGCTCGATTTTGGCCTATTTTTGAAAAAGGCTAATTCAATATTTTAACTTGCCTAAGCCTTGAAATTTTGCTTATACTAAAATCCTTCTATCTGTGAGCGAAATAGTTAGGCTTGCGTAATATTTTCTGGATAAAATATTGAGTTAGCCGTTTTAAATAATCAGCTCAAATCAGGCCGTTTAATAACATTAAAATTAGTATTTCAATATATTGTAAATATAATAAACCAATGAAAAGTTTATAATGTAAATTCTTAATATTTATGACAATTTAATTTATCAATTGTATTACAAACAAATATGTCCTATTGCGACATGATCCATGGGAATTCCTAATCTTTCAATTTTATATCATTTACTGAGAGCCAGGGGTTCGAACCGAACCGAACCGCAAAACCGGAATGAACCGTTATGATTTTCTGAACCGTAACCTTAACCGAACAGTTATGGAAAAAATATTAAAAGAGCGAAACCGTTATAAATATTTTGAACCGGTTTAAACCGGTTCAAAACGGTTTAAAAAATAATTAATTTTAAATTATTAACCTAAATTTATAATTTTAATTTTCCTTGGGGGCATTTTTTAAATTGGTGATTTCTTTTCAAATTAAATATTTCTATATTTTTTTTGTTCCAAATTTAAATTTTGTTGAAACTTCCGGTGGAAAATTTGAAGTGATAAAACGGTAAATATTATTTTATTTTAATCATATTTATTTACAGATTCTATGAACATTATATCTCAATATTGATAGTAATTATAACTTATACTAAAGAAATTAAGCTTAAAATCAGCCATCACCCACCTTTAAAGTAATTAAATTATACTGTAGTTCTCGGGTATAGGCTTTTTCTTTGTCCCACTCCTTTTAAATTATAGCCTATAGAGGTTTAAGCAACATTTTCGAAATGTTGTGCCTACAAGTACGTGCGGCTTGCCCACAAACGGGTGGAGGGCTCCTCATATTTTTACTTTTATACCCAAATTAAATTGTTCCAATTAGATGGAAATGAGGAAAACCTAGCGTAGCTCTGTTGTGTATTCAACGTTAGAGGGCGATGCGCTATATCACGTATATCAAATTAAATATTTTTATATTTTCAACATTATATATCAAATAATACCAGGTTTGTTGTTTTTTCTTTAAATACTGAATTTATAAGAGATTAGACAATTTATCCATTAATTAGATATAATATCTTAAAATCAGACATAATTATTCTTGGCTAAATTAACAAATTTATATATAAGATATTAATAAGCTTTTAGAATAATACCTGCAAATAATTAGGAAAAAATTATATAATTCTATTATTAATAAATAACATCTAATAGAAATTAAGTACCTTTTACATTCATTTTTATATTATATGGTTTATTTTTTATCTCATTATAAAAACTTGGATCATAGAATTTAAATGACAATAAATAAAATAGTCAGCAATATTTTAATGATATAATAATTTTTTATTTATAATCATTGTTTTTTTAAATTCAGAATTCTAATATTATAAATTATTTATTATTATAATATGTTAGTTAGCATTTACCATTATCATATATGCAAAATAAAAAATTATGATTAAAGAATGGCATTTGTAATGAATATTTTTCTAAATCTGTATTTTTAAATAAAAATCTTACTATAAATCTTCTGTTTAAATAAGTTAATTAACATTGCATTAAATTATTTTTATACTTTTATTTATTTATTAATGTGTTTTATATTTAAATAAACTTACAGTGAATTAAAAATAGGAATTACATTTTGATGTTAAACTAAATATAAATACTATAGTTTAGCTTAAATTACCTATTCTGTCATATTATATTAACATCTAGTAGAAATAAAGTACTTACCAATTTTTATATAATATTGTTTTACAATAATTTCTTATTGATATATTAAAAAAGTTTATCTTAGTTTATAAACAATATATCAGAGTGGGTAATTTGAATTAAACTATACTAGTACATCAAAATGTAATTCCTATTTTTAAATGTAAGTCTATTTAATATAAAACACAAATAAATAAAAGTATAAAATAATTTAATTCAATGTTAGTTAACTTATTTAAACTGAAGATTTAGTAAGATTTTTATTATTTAAAAATACAGATTTAGAAAAATATTCATTACAAATGCCATTCTTTAATCATATTTTTTTTTATTTTGCATATATGATAATGGTAAATGCTAACTAACATATTATTTAAATAATAAATATTAGAATTCTGAATTTAAAAAAAAATATGATTTTTATAAATAAAAAATTATTATATCATTAAAATATTTATTGCTAACCATTTTATTTATTGTCATTTAAATGCTATAATCCAAGTTATTTAAAAAAATAAAAATGAAGGTAAAATTGTTTCTATTAAGCTTTTTTATTTATTCTATTTATATAATAAAAGATTTTCATCTATCATCATATAGCTTTTTAGTTATCTATTAAATGGTTCGGGAAAAGTCAAATCCTGTGTGTTCCTATTTTAAATTAGATATCATAAAAAATCAATCTATTTGTAAAGTAGAAGATTGTGGTAAGGTCTTAACTGGGGACCATGCTGCAAATCTTGAACGAAATATAGAAAGATTCTACAATAGGGAATTCAAATTATTAAGAAAAAAGAAAGAAAATTTGATTATTAAAAAAATTCAAATAAGGAAAACTGCAAACCAGTATAATACAATCCAATATGCTTTTAAGTCCAACACTACTACAATACAAATCAATATAAATAAAGAAATTAATCCGCTCCTGCACCGAGCTAATAACAGTTCACGGTAGGCCAATATAATCAAATGACGACAAAGCATTTCGAAATATTATAGATCCAATAATTATAGGATTGGGTGGAAATTTAACTATCAATTCGGAAAATATACGAAATAATATTAAAAAAATGGCGTTAGATTTTTCGGAAAATATAAAAAAGGAAGTATATCAAAAACTTATTTCGTTAAAATTAGATATAGCAACTAGATATGATAGGTCCATATTGGGGATCAATATTCAATTTATAAATAACGGAAAAATAAAATTAAGGACTCTATGCATGAAAGTGATTAAAGAACGACACACATCAGAATATCTTAAAAAAATTATTCTAGATGTTCTAAAAGAATATGAAATAAAAATTGAGCAGATTTACACAATAACCACCGATAATGCAGCAAATATGATTAAGTTAATTAAGCTATTAATACTACACGATGAAGAAGATGATGACCTTAACGATTATTTAATTAATGATGATTTAAATAATAATGATATAGATAATGATGATTTAAATAATAATGATATAATTCATGATGAAAATAAAGAACCTTTTAATATTAAAAATATTAATTGCATCAAATGCCAGATCCATATTAATAGGTATTAGATGTGCTTCACATACATTTCAATTAGCAATTAATGATTGCATTAAAAATTCAAATGAAATTGTCATTATAAATAAAGCAAGAAACATCTGCAAAAAAATAAGAAATCAGACAACAATGGCTATTCTCTCAAAATTAAATTTGAAAAAACCACTAATAGATTGTTGCACAAGATGGAACTCTATCTATTTAATGTTGGAGAGATTACTAGAGTTAAAAAGTTTTTGCCAAGAAATATCGCTCCAAAGCGATCGCGAAAAATGTTTATCAGAGAATGAATGGAAAATAATTAGTGACATATTAAAAGCTTTATATCCAGCTTATGTTTTGACAAAATATTTACAAAGTGAACAATTGACAATGGGTGATTTTTATGCTGCGTGGATCAAATGTCTCATGCAAACGAGTAAAGTATACACTCCATTTGCCAGACTTTTAGTTTCTACGATGAAAGCACGAGAAATAAATTTCAAAAATGAAGTTTTTTGCTCTGCTATTTATCTCGACCCTAGATATAATGTATTTTTACTTTTTAAGAAAGAGAGATCGCCAGAAAACATCTTTGTAAAACTTGGAACTTGATACAAAATCTAAATAATCAGAATATTGAAATTCTAAATACTATGCCTACGTGTTCGTATTCGAAGGATAATTTAGATGATGATTTTGAAGATTTATTAAAGTCGCATGAAAGTCTTAATAAGAATAATTCTCAGGGCATCGAAAATTATAATAAATGTATAGAAATAGAATATATAATTCGGTCATTTGATAATATAGAGAGATTAGAAAAAGATACTAATCTTTTGAATTATTGGGAAAATGTAAAGAATAGTATGCCAGAACTTTATAAGTTAGCTATAACTGTGCTAGCAGTTCCAGCTACGCAGGTCTCCGTAGAAAGAGCATTTTCAAGCCTTAAGTTTATACTCTCTGCGCAGAGAACTAAATTAAATCCTGAAATATTAGAAAATATTTTAGTTATCCGTTCGAATTCTCTTTTTAAACCTAAATAGTATAGTATACATATTATTTTATTCATTATTGTATTTACGCATGTTTGTTTTTATCTTATTTATTTATGAAATAAAACTAATTTATCTAATTTATATTTCCTAAATTTAATAAAAATATCTATTAGATTATCATGGATAAATTAAATAAGAAATTATAAACTAAAAAGATTTTTCTCTAAAATTAATATATACATGGTTAATGATTAATTTTTTTAAAATTAAATTTATAAAAACCGGAACAAACCGAAAAGAACCGTTATAAATTATAAAACGAACCGATATGATTTTTTTTAAAAAAACCGAAATGGAACAAAACCTTTATAAAATTTTAAACTAAAAACCGGAACGAACCGAACCGTTATACTAAACGGTTAGAAACCCTGCTGAGGGCACTTTTTAAATTTGAAAGAATCCAATATGAGTGGATATTTTTATTCTTATTATTTTTGCTATTTGTGTTGTATAGAATTATAAAATAAAAAAGTCAGAATTTACAGTTTATAAATGAAAACGTAAAAGGTGAAATTAAATAAATTCAACAAATATTAATAGTTATTGCATAAAAGGTTTAGAATAAATAAATTCTAATTTAAAAAAATAGTTCCTTAATTTTTCGGCCATGTAGGGCATGATTAAAATTTTGTCTTTCACGATAAGGTTAATCGGGCTAACCAGAGTTGCTAAACGCTATTTTTAAAAGTAGCGCGCTACCGCTATAGCTATTTGTCAAAAAAAGTAGCGCGCTATTAGAGCTACTTTTTATAAAAAAAAATTTAGAAACAAATGAAACAAATTTTTTTTATTTTTTTTTGCTTATAATGTAAATGTATAATAAATATTATATAAAAATCAACATTTATAAATATAAAAATATAGTTAGTTTAGATTATAAAAAAATAAGCAATATAAATAAATATTTGATATGGAAATGAATCATTATTAATTAGAAGTACTTCTGTATACTCTTTTATAAAAGTATGCTCTTCATCGTTAATATATTCAATTTCAACAAGATCACAGAGATAATTAATCTCTTATCTTCTTTCCTCCAGAAAAAAAGCGATTAGTTTTATTGCTGGTATACAGAATTCCATCTTGTACGATTAGGGGTTAATAAATACCTCCCATGTCAGAACTTTTAGGAGATTTGTTCTGCTTATTCCATAAAGTTTGACATTTATAAAATGTCGATCTTGACACCCTTTTAAAATCTTCATCATTTAAAGCTCCTTCAGCATCTACTGTTGCTATCAAATTTAAATTATGACAGGAGCATCTCTGATGGCTGGGTAACATTGTGGAGTTAGTTGAAGATCCTATAGAATATTGATTAGATTAACATTTATTATAAAATAATTTAAACCTTCTTCTAAGATCTCATTAATATCATTGGCATCAACACCTATTTCCCCCTCTTCCAATACATGTTGACTATCATTGTATCTCATCCTCAGCATTATCCTCACCAAATATTCTATATTTATATTAAATAGGACAAATTAAATTATTCATCCAGCTTTAATAGAAATGTCTAGTAATATTTATCATAAATGTTGTGGAAAAATCATTTCTTAGTATTCTAAATTTTGAACCTCAAGAATTATAATGTAACTAAGCAAAAATATTTTATCAAATGAATACATTGAATGAATTCCCTGTACTGTATATAAATTGATGGCAATTAATCAATAAAAAATAAATATAGTAAAAATCTAATCATCCATGAAATATTCAATAACCATATCTTATTAAATGTTAGATTAGCTCAATGACACTGTACAATAAAAATTAATGAAATAATCCACCTCTGTTTTATATTTTATTAGTTAATTTCACTAATTTTATTTATAATTTGATATAAATTCTGATAATCATAATATTACTAAAATATGTGTGTATTTAGTTAATAAAAATTCTATAAATAATGTGAAATATTAAAATACTAAATATTTTATAGATTAAATAATAACCATTCCATTCTGATTAATTTACTGCCCAAAAAATCATAACTTAAAATAAATATTATAAATAAATTTGTGATATAACCTAAATGCCTTCAGGTAGTTAGACCCATTATCAGTAACCATCTTGCAAACTTTATTATGAATCCTAAAAGACTTGTGGATGTCAATAATTTTATTTGCAAGTACGTCATATGTCTGGCATCCTATAATCCTTTTAAGGGCTAAGGCTACACATCTTCTTTTTAAAGTCCTAGAGTCTAACCAATGGCCTGTGATTCCCAAATAAGCTCTAAAAATATTTAATCAGATCAATTTATAAATATAAATAAGTTTTACCTTCTGTTATGTGTCCAACTATCTGCCGTGGTCAGGGTTGCCAGGTCAAAATTTTCAAATTGTGGGAGAAATTAGGTATTTTGTGGGAGAAATATAAAAATTGTGGGAGAAATTGCTAAAAAAATTTTTTGCAGGCCTTCGGCCTGCAAAGGACCGGGATTTAGAATTGACTTAGTTATCCACTTATTATTTTTTATAAATATAAAATCTAATCTATTTTCCAAAATAAAATAGGTAATTATTTTTCAAAATAAAATAGCTAACTTTTTTAAAATAAAATAGCTAACTTTTTTTCAAAATAAAATAGCCAACTATTTTTCAAAATAAAATAGCCAACTATTTTTCAAAATAAAATATCCAACTCTTTTTCAAAATAAAATAGCCTAACTATTTTTCAAAATAAAATATCCAACTCTTTTTCAAAATAAAATAGTTAACTATTTTCCAAAATAAAATACCCAACTATTTTTCAAAATAGGTAATTACTGTACGACACAAAATTTCTTAGAGTACTATCTTTATTATTAAAAAAACATATTGATTTATTATAATATATTAATTTTGTTTAAAAATAATAACCAACGATCTTTTTTAAATACAAAAGAATGTAAACAAGATAAAATTTTATAAAAAATTGTAATTTTACAATGTAAAAAAAATAAATGGGGGAAGGGAATATGATATTTTGAGGTATCAAAAATCTTCAAAGCATAAATCAGTACAGGGCATTCTATCAACATCTATTTCAAAACAAAAATATTCTTCAAAAATAAGAAATAATATAGATGCAACTACAGTTGCGGAAATGGTAATTACCTATCATGCAGTACAACATTCAGAGAGTTACTCAACATCTCAATGTTGGTAGAATCTTTCCCCATAATATTTAACGACTAATATAAATGAATAGAATATTTTGTAGAACACAAAATGAGCAAGGCTATCAACAATGTTTTAGGATATAAATCCAGAAGGTCAATTCTTGACGATTTGAAAGATGTGCAAACATATGCAATTCTAACAGATGCATCTAATAAGGAGATATCAAAACATTTCCCTTGATCCTCCCCTATTTCAACAAAATTAATGTCATTTTAATAAAACTATTAAAAAAATTTTCTCCAGATATGAAATATCCAAAGACATAGCTAACCATATATAATGGTAAATATGGCAGATTTGGCATTACCAATGAATTGCATGGTAGCTTTCTGATCTGATAATTCCTCAGTAAATTTGGCAAAAACCAGAGTGTATTTACAGAATTGAGTCAGCATAATGTTGGTTGACAGGTTCCTCCTAATACGCGCCATCTAAGAATTTTAAAATACAAACCTTTAAAAAATAAATAGATTATAAAAGCTGTCCTATTTGAAAATAATTTTCAAAAATAAATGGCAGAAGTATATTTAGGAATTTTACATATAGGAAATCTACTATATGCTGTTAATATGCAGTTGCAATCAGAAGAATATAATTTAATAAAGGCTCACTAAATTATGCTGCAGAAATACCAAAGTAAGAATATTACTATTATCGGATAATTATTAATAAGATTTAATATGATGTCATGTTTGAGGAGATTGTAATGCTTCTTTATTTTTATGATTTGCCAAAATATTCAAAATATTAATTTTACAATGTAAAAAATAAATTTATTTGATTTTATGCAAATGTATAAATAAGATTTTATAAAATATAGAGTTATAGTTAATTATATTTTATATGAGATTTAAATAATGGAACTAAACGTTTTTCCGTCGTTATTAAGATATTAAAAATCCTGGCATGACATTTTATAATTTTGTTTAACCATTAACTCGGCCTCTTAGGATATCTTAAGCTTAGATTAAAGATGATTAGGATAATAATATTTTCTAAGATGAGTTCCACCTTCATTGCTAATTTTTAAAAATATTACTTCTAATATTAATAATATATTTTTTAATATATAATAGTACATAAGCAGTTTATATTGAAAATAATTTTTCTTTTTATATATTTAATTATAACATTTTATTGTCCAAAAAACAACATCAGTATTGGAAACTAGTGCTTTAACCTCAAAACAATCTAAATCTCACCTAGAAGATAACTATCATGGTATATATAAATAAAAATATTAAAAAAGCACTAGTTTCACATACTATTCTAACTTCAAATTTTGAAAATGTCGAATGGATTGGATTGGATGGAGAATTTAAAATTAGCGGAAAAATAAAATAAAAGAACTAGACATATTTTTCGAATAAATATTTAAAATTTATTTTAAAAATATAAAAATAATCAAATAATGTCTCTCAAAATTATTATTTATATATTAAAAACATTAAAATGCTAAAAAAAAAATTGTGGGAGAAATTAAAAAATTGTGGGAGATTTTTGTGGGAGATTGTGGGAGATTTCTAATTGTGGGAGTTTTGTGGGAGTGAGATGTATGTGGGTAAACTAAAAAATTGTGGGAGACTCCCACTGATGGGGGGAGGCATGGCAACCCTGGCCGTGGTACATACATAAGATATATCTGATAACTCTACTATTAGAGCATCTTTCATCACTTTGAAGTTGTCGGCTATTTTATTCATAAGTGTCTGGCGACATAAAACTGTTGTGCCAGGGGATAAAGTTTTAATCATCATAGTAAATGATGGATTATCAACCAAGGACAATGGCGGAACTGTGTCAATAATAAAATCAACA